TTGGAACATACAAACTTCAGGAGAAACGTGTTTTCCCGCAGCGCTCCGATGCATCCGGCAAAGCCCAGGATGAACATAACCCCCCCAACCACCATGAAGAGCCAGACCGGGTCCAGACCCCCCAGGTCTGTGATAGATGAGATGTTGGACAGGACCCCCTGCAGAGGACAGACGCAGCACTCGGTCTGAGGCGGTTTGGTCAACAGCGCCACAAATAAACGCATGAACTAGTTTTTAACTAGTGTTTGAAGTGTGGATGCTGTCACATGACCCTGGGAAACAGCCTCAGCTGTGACACAGACTTTAGTAAAGTTCACATGAAAATCAAGTATCAAAACGAACACACGTGTGTGGACAATGACTGACGGTTCATTAAATGAATGGTTTTGATTGGAGGTCACCTGACTTTGCTTTGAAATGTGGCTGTCCACGCTGCAGGACAGGAGCGTGGGTTTCTGTGCTGCTCACAGGAGTCACGCACGCGCGTCCATCACACTGGAACAGCTGACGTCTCAGTCAGTGTAATGACGTTGTTGTCACGTGTGCACTTACCTTCTCGCTCCACGCCCACAGTCCGATTCCCACTAAGGCCATGCCCAGCAGCTGCAAGACACGGACCACATCTCATTAAGGTGAAGATGCACGCGAACACAATCACATGACGTCACTGACTCGGTGTTATTTAAAGGTTTCCCCTGTGACGTTTCTCGTGTGTCGTGTGTGTGCGTGTCCATCACACGCAGGCCCTCAGCTGTCACTAAAGCCGATTAGCTGTGCTGTGGACTAAGCTGCAGCAGGAACGCTCACGTTACTCTGAGTAACGGATCGATGCCTCCCCCGTTACTGATAATAACACGTCACCCACGCACAGCTGCTCACCCAGAACAGGATGTTGAATCCGAAGATGAAGTATTTGATGCAGCAGCTGACTTCGTGGCCTTTGTAATGATTCCCCGACATGATCGTGGGTGCGGAGGAGACGCGGCCTGCTGCTGCTTCACGGGGTTCGTGCCGTGCGGGAGGGAACAGGTTCAGCGCTCCGTGGACGCATGTCACCGTGGGCTTCCGGGCCGCACAGAGGCCATGGCACACGGACGGATGTGACCCGCTAACACGAAGGAAACACGGATAGGAAACGAACAGCGGCCCTGATCTACGCCGGACAAGTGCAGCGCATCTCCGCCGCTCCCGACGAACGAAGGCGGCAGGGGGCGGGGCCAGTGCGACGGAGAGTCGGCGGTGATTGGTTAGAACGACACAAAAGGCAGGACAGTCTACCAATAGGATCCAAGGAACGCTGATGTACTTCCGTGTCGTTATTCCAGCGATCATTCCAGATCAAACATAGTTTGGAAAATTCTCTTTAATGTGTTTAATGAAGAAACTGTCCCGAGATTACACGGAGAAGCCTTAAAGAGCGCGCGGACAGGAAGCACTTCACCAGTGTCAGACCCACGAAACCAGATCAAGACCAAAGTTTATGACATTCATGTTTGAAGAAAAACGACACACAGTATACACCTCATTGTTCAAATGCTGCACCTTGTTTCCTTTCTCTCGAGGAGCCCCACAGCAGCTCATACGCTGCAGCAAAACTATAATTACAGTCAAATGAATGTTTTGCTGCAGTCACTGAGTGTGGAGGGAAACACGGGGCCTCGCTCTGTTCCGCGTGGACACGTCCAGTTTAAACAGCTGGTGAATAAATAAAAACATGTTTCTGGTTGATTTTCAGATTCATGTGAATCTGCTGTGATTGGTTGGGGTGAGAGAAGGAAGACAGGATAAAGACATGCTGTGGAAGAGAGACAGAGATTAATAACAGATATGATTCAA